ATTTGCTAGCCTGTTGCTTATATTTCTGTATTTGATTATTATCTCATTCTCTCCACTAAGATGTAAACTCCCAGAGGACAGTGATCTCCTCAAATTTGACACTACATCTCCAGTGCTTACAGCCTGGCACACAGTAAGTACTCAACAGTTTATTTGTTGAATGACTGAATGAGATTTGCCCTGGCTAGAGCCCTCTTCCTGCACACATGTGCCCCCACTCTGCTTAATAAAAGCCCACCCATCATTCAGTTCCCACCTCTGAAATCACTCCTCAGGGAGGCTTTCTCTAACTTCCATCACTGCCTCAAGTTTCCATATTTTGTAATTTTTTAGAATCTCTCCTTCATAGCATTTATTACATGTGTAATTTTACATTTACTTTACATTTATCTAATTAATGTCGATGGCAGAGACCATATTGATTTTTATTTGTTATTATCTCCAGGCCAAACCTCATTGTTTGACACAGGATAAGATTTGACAAAAAATGTGTTGAATAAATAAATAACAATGTTATAGTAACTACAAAAGCAATGACTACTCTATAAAGAAATTCTGTAGAGAGAGAGAAGCACGCCAAAGCTGTAGCTATCTGTCATCTCACCACCAGGGACCCTGCTGTACCATGTGTCCCTCCAGACATTTTCCTACCCACATAATGAACACAGAAATATTTTATTTTGTACAGAACTAAACTAATATATAAATTATTTCCCACATGAATGCCCACAGCTCCTCCACTTTGTCAACTTGGAATTCACTCTTTTCCACCTTTGCCAATTTAAATTTGATAAAGAACCCAGGAACAAAGACAATGGGGTGAGGGGGAGGATTGAATGTGGCGGGGAGGAAAGGGCAGAGGGAGGGTAATGGGGGAAATGGAGACAACTGCAATTGAACAACAATAAAATATAAAAAAATAAAATTGATAAGTAGTATTTAATTTTGTTTTAATTAACATTTATTTTAAGCCCAGTTTTAACAAAGAATATTTTTCCATATGTTTACCAGTCAGATATATGTCTTCTTTTGTGGCTCATATATCCAAATAGTTTAGTGATTATTCTTCTGGTATATTCATATTTTCTTTATTCCTAAGAGATTTTTTACATATAAAAATATTACCCCTTTATCTGTATTATATATAATGTATTTAAAATACTTTCTAGTTTAGCATTTGCCTTTACACTTTGTAATCAATGTGCAAAAATACTAATTTTTTAATGTTGTCTAATCTGTTATTTGTTGCTATTATGATTGTATTTTTTGTTATGACTACACAGGTCTTTCCCAGTGTATTACATAATATTTATTTAAGTGTTCTTCAAATAATTTTATGGTTTTGCTTTTTATATTTAATTTTTAAATCCACCTATAATTTATTTTAAAGGAAAGTGTGCAGTGAAAACCTAACTTTATATTTTTCAAAGCATTGGCCAATTACTCCAGCCCATTTTTAAATACATTGAAATACTAATACCCAAATTCTAGGTGATAATACTCACCTGAATCCATTGTTAGGCATTGGCTTATATTCTGACACCAGTAAAAATAATTATTCACATTAAAGGTGTTTATTTTTTAAAAAAATAACTGATAATGTTTGATTATCTTCAAGTGTTATTTGTTCCAAAAGGCTTAGAATTAATAAGTCAGGTTCCAAATGCATAGATTTGGCTTGTGATTAAAGTTGCATTAGATTTGACATCTTTGAAATATTGAGCCTTCCATTTACATTATGCATCACCATTTATTCTAATCTCCTTTGTGCCTCTCACTAGTGTTTTGTAATTTTGCTTTTATAGTCCCTATAATTTTCTTAAGTTTTTTTCCTAACATTTTCAATTAAAATTTTAAATAGGATTTTACATCATATTTTAAAACTGAATTGTTCACAAATTAAAAAGCTATTGATTTGTGCATTTATTTAATTCAACTTACAGTTTTTCAGCTGGTTCCCTAGTTTTCTAGGAGAAAAATGTATATAATCACAAAAGAAATGGCAGTTTGGATTTCTTTCAATAATTACAACTAATGGACTTATTTTTGATGTAATACATTGGCTAAAATCCTAGTAACAATATTTAATGATTGCTGTAATACAGTAATTTTAATGTCAATTTTCCCATAAAATAGCAAATTACTTTTTCAGAGGGATTTTTAATTATTTATTCTATAATATTATTTAAAGCAGTGATTCTCAACTAATGGCTAAACATTCTAGCAAAAAAATATTTATTTAAAGGAAGTTTCTTATAGTTCTAATTTACTGTTTATTCAAAGAATGCAAGCTGAGTTTTAACAAATATATTTGATTTGTACAAAAATGGTCATATTCTTAATCATTATACTTATTGTTTAGGTAAATTAACTTAATTTGAATCATGTCTCTTAACTTGAATGACTCACATTCAGTCATGACTTTATTTTCTTCTAATAAATTACTGGGTTTCATTTGTTGCCTTTTAGGATTTTTGCATTTTATTTACCCTTGGATGTTACCTCAGATTTTGTTTGTCATTGTTATCATTGTTGTTGTTAACTCTAGCGCTGTTTTAAAAATAACTTTATGCTTGCCTCCTAAAATTAATTAGGAAGCTTCTTATATTTTCTTGTACTATGGAATAGATTACACAACATAAAAAGTGATAGTTGAATGATTGGAAGAACACACAATACATTTATTTGAACCAAATATATTCTTGGAAGTAAATCTTGAATAACTTTATATCTTTAACTATTATTAGTTCTTCCATTTTTATTCTTCTTCAGTGAAATATAATAATTTATATTTCTATATTTAACTTTTTTAAAATTTCAAAATGATACTTTATAGATAGCATATTTTATATTATAATTGTAATCACTTTGGTATATCATATTTGAATTCTCATTTCTGATTTTACATATTTTTATGACTAAAATTATTTGAGGTTAAACCAGTAGCTCTCAAAAAAACTAACTCTACTAATTTCCTACTTTTGAATTCATCCATTTCTGCCTTTATCTTGCACCAAATGATTTCATTAGATTAATTTCTGGCTTCTCATGTTGACAGCTTAGTTTTTCAATTTTTGTATTTTTTATTCAACAATAAAAGCTTTTAATGTGATAGCATGTTTGGCCAAGTCTCAGGCAATACTCTCAATATTGTTTCTTCCCAGCTATTCTGTTGATAATGTTTTGATCTTCTTTTTGATACAAAAGTTATTTAAAAAAAGATTATTTTCTTATTTTTCCATCTTACAAGAGATTAATATTTTGGATAAGATATTGTTTTTATCTTTATATTTATTTTATTGTAATCCTATTCTATATCATGTTTATTAAAATTGATTAAGCCTTTAATTATAGTATATATATTCTGGGGTAGGGATATTTATGTATAGATACATACAAATGAAATTGTCTTTATTATATTATTCATATTTTTATATTTTCTTTATTATTTTTAATGTAATTTAAAGATTATAATCTGAAAGATAAGTAAATGTCTTTCATTACTATTTTTATTTCTGTCAATTTCCTCTTACATTACTTAGAGATTTACTGTACATATTTCTATATTGTTGTCTGGTATAAAACTTTCCAGACATTTGGGTCTCACTGGAGATTGAAGCCTTTATTAATATAAAATGTGCTTATTTGTTTAAATGTATATATTTAATTTGATTTTTTGTGTGAATAATTTTGAGGCTCTTACTTTCATTTTTATTTTAATGATTGATTTTATTCTAGATTTAATTTAAATTTTTTTGAAATTGGTCTTAAGTTTTCCTCTGATAAAAAGTTATGATTATATTTGACTTATTAACCAGTGTTTTCCTATATAGTGTCATTTTTGACATGTACATTTTCCTTTTATAACTGGAGGATTTATTATGTTGTTTTTCTGTTGTCTTTATGCCTTTTTGTTGTTTCTGTTCTCTTATTATTTCATTTTCTTTTCTTATTATATCTTGTTACTGTATTTTGCAGTGTATAATAATGCACCCATGTTTTTGTGTGCATTATACATGGGATTATTATACCCATTCTTACACCCATGGTAAGTATATAGCCAGTTTCCTATGGCTATCTTCCCAGATTTTAAACCCAGATTTTTACCTGAGAATTATGACCTGTGATGGTTAGTTATGTGTTGTTTTGGGTAGGGATCATACCCAGTTAATTAAACACTAATGGAAGTGTTGCTGGAAAGGTATTCTATAAATGTGGTTAACATCTACAATCAGTTGATTTTAAGTAAAAGAGATAACCCTCAAAAATATTGGTGGGCCTGATTAATCAGTTGAAAGGCCTTAAAAGCAAACTTGAAGTTTTGCTGAAGAAATTCTGCCTCAGCACTGAAGCATCAGACTCTGCTCCAGACTTTGCAGCCTGCTGACCTGCCCTACATATTTTGAACTTACCAGCCCAAATTCCTTGAAATGCATTTTATATACGTTACATATGTGTATATATATGATGTATACTATATATAACCAGTATCATACATACACACACATGCAACCTAAGAGTTGTATATATTTATATAAAGAGAAACCTGACTAATATATCTAATATATTCACTTTTCTTTTATTCTTTTATTACCTTTTAAACTTCATAAGATTCTTCACATTTTTTTATCCCACACTTTATTAATTTTCATCTACCTCTCAACTAGCCATCATTTAAACTCAGACTATTATGGTCTCACCTTTTAATTCATCTATTATCTCATAGAATTCATATTGTTAAAGATTTATTGTTAATATAAACATGTGTTATCTAAAATTTATTCCTTAAATAAGCTGTATTTCTCCCGTTTTTACTTGTTGTGTTCTTTCTCTGTTATACTTCAGAGATTTCAAAAATCCCTTCTGGTCCTTTATGTTTTCATTTATTTATCCTTGAATTATAATTATTAATCTAAAATTTAAGTTTATATAATAACAAAACATCAAGCAAAAGCAAACTAAACCAAAAAATACATCTTAATCTTAATTTCATCCCTTACCTCTCATTGCCTGAGGCAATGTCAGCCCCAAGGCGTGTCCAGGATTTTTTGGGATAAGCACTGTGGAGCTGAACTTTCCCATAAACCCCTGAAAATAAGATGAACAACATTTGAATAAGAATATCCTTCAGAGGAATTAAGGAGACATGAGTAGAACTCATTAGGGGTGATTATGCAAGATGTGTGGTATAGAAACTATATATAAAGATGTACACTTTATCAGAAAGAGAACATGTTAAGTGTTCTATTTTCAGTAGGTTAAATATATCTTACATAGACATGAAATATATGCTCTCAAAAGCTATAGAAAAATGTATGCCACACCACATCTAGCAATGCAAGAGTGGGGAAATAGAACACTCTAATGGTTACCTAATTAGATTTACACCATTGCAATTCTGTTGGAAGTTAACTGGTTCTGATATTTTATGTTACACACTAAATTTTCCAAAAGGCAAGGGTAATTTTATTTTCTGATGAAAGAAAAGAAATTTGGTACTACTAGCTTTGTTTTCAGTGGTTGGACCTCATATATATATATATGTGTATGTATATATGTACACACACACACACACACACACACACACACACACATATATATATATACATATGCATACACACACATACATATGTGTATATATAGTATTATAGATATCAAAAGACAGACATCCAGCTCCTTTGTTTCAAAATATAGTTTATTTCAGACTCACAAATTAAACTCTTACCAGGGACATGCTCAATGCAGTCCAGTTTTATTCTTTCAGATCTTCTCTCTTACATGCTTTACTACCATTTAAAATCACATGAAGTTCAATTTCTCATATCCTAATGGTCTAAACATGTTTAAGGCATGAACCAAAGCAGTAACAAAAATATATATATATGAGTATATTCATATATATTTCAATAGAAGTACTAATATTTTCTTCCTGAATCCAAAGGATTGCCTGTACACCCCTGGATTGGTATACCCCATTTTGCTGAAAATCATGGATCTTGAACTCTAAAGATTTTATCATTTTTAACAGAATATATATAAATAAAAGAAAGAAATACCAGTAAGGTACAAATAACATGCCTTGAGTTTTCATCTTATGTGAACCAAAAACATCTCAGTTAATTGAAACCTAACCAACTGTTTATGCCAACATCCATAATTTTTTCCATATTCTAACTCAAAGAAAAATCTGAAGATAATAAAACTAAAATTAGAATTAAAGGAAATGTAAAAAAATACTTGCACTTTCAGAATACATCCTGGAATCAATATTTCATAATAATAGTCATATGTATATAAAAGTTTTAGAAGATTTAATTAACATCATCATTATAATCATTTTAAAATTCCATCTTTTTCACTATTTGTTAAGTAAACTAGTCAGAAGGAGAAACATGAAGTAATTTAGAGAAATTTCCAAAAACAAAGGAGTTTAACAAAAACTAGTCTATTTTCTTAAATTTGAATTACCCATAAAATTAAATTAACCATGATAGATTTCTTGATCATTCAGAATCATCAAAGGTTTATTGTAAAATGACCCCATTTCTTATTTGTTTCTAGGAAATTATAATACTTAAAAAGATTAAAATCTCTCATTTACTTATAATATCACAAAATTTTAAGCACCTAGTGAAACAACTAATTCATTCCTTATTCAATTTAGTATCAGAGAAGATTCAAAAACATTAGTTAGTCCATATGGCTGGAGCTGGGCCTCAGGACAGACATCCTCATGAATTCCTAACACAGCATTCCGTCCAGTGTGGCATTGCACAGAACAGAGTGCACAACAGAGGCAAAAACAGATTGGACGTTCCTGTTTTGATCCATCTAGTTTCTCAATTTGAAAACTAAAATATTATCAAACCTCATATTCTTAAAAAGGTAAAGAAATAGCACATATGAAAAATCCTTTGGAAATAACAAAGCACTATCAAAGGACTATATGGCAAAGGCTACATGCTATAGAACTAGGTTACCAAATTTCATACTATCCCAACATGATCGCTTCCATTTTACCGAGTCACTGATATCTTAGCAGTTAGTAATGACATACAAAGTAAGTGAGAAAATACTGGAAATCTGAAAGATAGCCTCTTATAGCTATCCTTTAAAACTGAGTATTTGTGTGGTTCTTACATCTTGATTATACAAGATCAGTCACACTTTCTGTGCTATTAAAATAACATTTGGTATTGTGGCAGTATCAAATAAAGAAACAGTAATCTATAGATCTATCAGTTTTAAAAAATTATATCTTTCATCACCATACATTTGACCCCCTTTTTTACTACCTCCCACCCCCATTCCCTCTGGTAATCACTGCTGTTGTCTGTGTCTATGAGTTCTAGTTTATTTCTCTTATTTGTTCATTTGTTGTTTTCAGTTTTATCTTCTACATATCAGTGAAATCGTATGGTTCTTACCTTACAATATATAGAACATGTGTCAAAGAAATGCACAGGAAACCTACATAATCTTTTAAGTAAATGTCACCCCCAAAAATTTAATTTAAAATTTTAAAAATAAAAATGTAATAAAAATAAAAATATATCAATAATTACATAATATTTACACTTAATAAGGTAGACTCTTAGTTAGATTTTGGTGTCTGGCCAATCTGGTTATGAACCTAAATGTTGACACTGTAAAGCCGTGTGGCCTTTTCCATACTGCTCCTCATGTCTGAGTCTCAGTATTGATATCTGTAAAATGAGCACTGCTTAAATTATCTAAAAGAGTGCCTGGAACTTAGATGATCTATGAGTGGTATGAATGGTACTTTATCACACGAACACATATTCCATTATTAATAAAAACTATATATTACTCGTACCAATTGTTCCTGGATCAATATGAATTCCGTTGAGGCGGTTACAAAAGACTCCCTCTGAAGCTCTCAGGAGAATCAGGAGCTTTTGTTCTTCTCGTAGGGGATTTTCCAAAGTACCTATTTACAAAGAAAAGTAATATTTTAAATGAATTTGAAATTAAAACAGAGAGAGGGAAACTGTGATGCCATTTCAGAAATGTAAAGTAGATGTTACAGAGCAGACTATGTGGGGAAGAGCCAATGGGAACATCAGTGAATAAGAAAGGGGGTAAAATGAGACGCAGTAAAATCTCAAAGGGTTTAGATAACCATTCAGCAAATATCCACTCCTTTTTTTCATTAGGCAGAGTATACCTTCTTGACCTACTAATATTTAGCCTGCGCATATCATTTGTTCTGATCAATAAAATTTGGGTAGAAGTGATAGCAATGCTATTTCTGAGTTGATACTCTAAGTTGCTTGGCAAGTTTTTAACAGACCACTTGCAATGATGTATTCTGCCAGGAAAGGAGTATTCTTTAAATAGCTTCTAGTTCCTGAATGAAGAAACAAACTAGCAGATCTAAAGAGAACACACAGCTGGAAGTACTTCCAGCTAAGTCTAACATAAATATTTGTTGTGGTATGCCATTGAGGATCATGGACTATTTGTAACACACTGTTAACCAAAGCAAAACCTGGCTGATTCATGCCTATGGCTGGATCCCATAAAATGCATTTACATGCATTTTAGCATTTATTCCTCACAACAAATCTGAAAAGTAAGTATGATTATTATCTCAATTTTAAATATTCACACATAATGAGGCTTAGAGGTTAAGGGATTTGTCTGTATTTATCCAACTAGTAATTCACAGAGTCTTAATTTGAACTATAGTATGTTCATACTAAGTGTCTTATTAAACAAGTATAAGCTATTTTCTCAGCCTAAATTCTTCTAGCAGCATAAAGACACAATCCATTCAGGCTGTAACAGATATCAGGTGGGAATTACTGCTGACATGATTTATTCTTTTGAGGTAAATAGCAGAGTTTGGTCACTTTTTAAAAAAATTGATTTTAGAGAAAGAGACAGAGAGATAAGGAGGAACATAGATTTGTTGTTCCACTAATTTATGCATTCATTGGTTGATTCCTTTGGGTGCCCTGACTGGGGATCGAATCCTCAGACTTAGTGTATTGAATGGACATAGCTCCAACCAGCTGAACTATGCAGCCAGGTCACTGTTATAGTATGAGAATTCTTTGGGGGATTTGCTGAAATAGTGGTATGGAGTATAAACATAACAAAGGTTATTTGATTCAAAAAAATCTATCTTAAAGTACAGAAAATACCGTAAAAACTCAGCTTTTCAAAAAGCAACTGGTGAAAAGATAGTCTTCAAACTACAAACTGGATCAAACTGGCTCACAAAAAATATCTGCTATCAAACAAAACTTTCCAATTTAGAAATTCTTAAAGACATAACCAAAAATGAAGTTGCCAAGTACAGTATGAAGTAAATGATTAACTTGAAATTGCCCGGTCATCATTATGATTAAGTGGCCTTTCAGTGGGCATAAAGTCATCCTCCCCAGTTAGGACGGCATATATACCTGGTTAACCTAAAGACTCAATGTGAGTTTGCAGTGTACTACATACCTATTTTTACAGTCCAGCCTTCACAGCCATTGGTCTACAAGGGACGGCTAAAGGTAAGACACAGAGGGGTAAGCAAATATGCTTAGAGTTACAAAGTGGGTCCAGGGGCAAGCAAGCCTGGGTTCCCAGTGAGGTGCCAAGGTATGCTGCTGCTCCATGCAGGTGACACCAATTCTCAGCTGAGTAACCAACATACCCTCTTAGCCAAAACAAAGCTGTACCCACATAGAAAGAAAGGAAGCAAAAGAAGAGGAAAATGTTAAGAAAATGTGTCTGGTGTAGATCTTATCTTGAGATTACAAGTCTGTCCAGTGAGCCATTTTCTAATTATGATTTCATTTATCTCATGAAGGGTAGTTTAGATTCTTAGGGGGAAATGGCCTAGCACTAAACAGATACCAGAGGAGAGAAGAACAGTTCTTGCCCTACAGAAATGTCTGCAGCGTCCCACAAAAGGAGTTCAGCGTTCATCTGAAATCAGAGATTGAATCAATTATGCAACCCAAAACTGCAGAACATGTGCAGCTTCCACAGAAAGTCTGGGCAAAATTAGTTAGCTCTCCGCTCCCCCGACCCTGTGATCACCGGTATCTCAAATACCGAGTTTGCATTTGTTTTTGTGATGTGGGGGGAGGGAAAGGTGCAGGCTAGAGATTGAACAGAAAGAAGGCAAGACTGACCTAAGAGAAGGGAATAATACACATGCTGTTTTAACATTAAAATGAAGTGTGTCTTAAATTTGTAAAAGCTGGTGAACAGAAAGCCCTTGAGGCTGGGCTCCTCATTTTATTCTTAAATTTAACAAAGAAAAGTGAGGTGCTCTCACCAGCTTGGGCTTTGCTCCTAAATGAGAGTAGCCACCTCTCATAGAAGAGTCTCCGGATAATGCTGTTTTTCTCTGACTTTCCTTTTTGAAGCTGCTTCAAACTGCTGTAAACTATAGCAAAAGGCATTTTCAACCTGGACAAATTTAAATACTCATAATGGAGGAAAAATCATTGTCGTCATGCTGCTAAGACGTGCCAGGTGTTCATGCATATGTGATTCCATTTACCTCACCACCCTATGACGGGCACTGCTGTGGTTCTTAGGAGGAAACTGAGGCACAGTTAGGTTAAATAACTTATTGGAAATTACACGGCTAGTAAATGGTGAAGCTGAGCTTAGACTTAATAAGTGCCATCTTAGAACACATAGGCACAGAGAAATAGAAAAGGAGTAAAGGAAAGTTGCCATTACTGAGTATGGTGGTGAGCACTGGAGGGAAACAGAATACGTTCCAGATGCTAAAATCACCTGGGGAGATGGAAGAAAATAAGTTCTGGTATACGGCAGACAACCGTTATAATGATTTGAGGAATATGGTACAAATGGATTCCATGAATTTCAAGGGTAAGAAAAAGGGAAAAGGACCTTACATTATTTTATTAACTAAGTCTCTTTGATGAAACCATGTATAAACCTAGTTTCCACTTAAACCCACTCTCTCAACATGACTCCCCACACCTTGTGACTAAACCAATCCACACTGAATTACTTACTGCCCCCTGCTCTCTCTCCTCTGTGTATGAGATTCCCCAGGCTTTGAGGTCTCTTACCTTTGTTCTGTCTAAATCCTAATCATCCCTCAAAACTGAGCTCTGCTGCAATTTATTTCTAGAAGTCTTCGAAGGGGAATCACACACCCCCTTTTGTGCATAAAAATGCTGGTGCCTCTTGCTGCAGTAATTTTCCTTTAAGGAACTTTTCCTAAAGAAATAGTATGGAATGTGGACAGATCAAGGCCCAAAGTTCATCATTGCTCTATTATCTAATTTAAAATCACAAACATTTGAAAACACTTTGAAATAGCACACTCTTAGAGACAACATTGTCTATTTAGAGCCCCTTCCTTCCCCTGCAGAGATACTCAATGGCATACTCATTGGCCATACTTTCCTTGGCATACTCAATGGCCAAGCCACACAAGCCCCTAAACAAGCCCAGCCCCACTTCAGATGCCACTCTCTCTGGGTTCCCTCCTTGACAACTAGGTCTGGGTCAAGTGGCCCTCTATCGGCTCTCACAACACAATGTGATTTACCCCAATACTTCTACATGGTACCCTGAGTGCCTGTTACCTGTCCCCTTCTCTTTCAGTGAGTGAACAGAGAGAAGTGACTGTATTGGCAGCAGAGTTCATGTATGTTTTACCCCCAAAATGATGAACTAGGTAATTTTAATCAATTTTCTTACAGAAAACAATGAAAAAAGAGGAATATTATATAGTAAAAAAAGATTTATTTCACCAATATTATAATTTTAAACATATATGTGCCTAGCATCATACTTCAGAATAAATAAAACAAAAATGTACAGAACTTCAATGAAAAAAATAGATATATCCATAATAACAGTGACAAATTAAACACAACTCCCTATACAATAAACAAAAAAGGAGCAAGGATACAGCATCTTGAATAGCACAATTAGCAAAGCTGACCTAATGCATGAGTGGATAACTAGATTCATAAAGAATGTATTCTTTCAAGCATGTACAAGACTTTCACATCTATTGATCATACGACCACATGAAGATCCTAAGGTTTAACAAATTTAAAGGGATTAGAATCATACATCAATATGCTTTCTGACCATTGTTTAGTCAAAGTACACAACTCATTGGAAAAGTTTTATGAAATAAACATTTTTAAATAAAGATTTTTTCAATTATTTAGAAATATCATTAGGAGAGTAAAAAAAACAACCTACAGAGTAGACAAGGATACTCGTAATACAGGTAACAAATAAAAAGTACATTCTAGAACATATAAAACTTCAGTAAATCAATATAAAACAGATAATCCATCATAAAAAGGATAAAAAAATAGCTACTTCACAAAACAAGGTATAAAATAGATAATAAAAGTTTAAAAATACTCAATTACATTAGAAATTAGAGAAATACAAATTAAACCAATAGTGAAGTCTCACTGTATACCTACTAGAATGGATTTATGGTGTTTAATTCAGTTGTGTATTTTTTATTTTATAAGTATTTTTGTACATGTGTATCATATTGCACAATAAATATTTAACTGATTATTATGTTCTAAAACACTCATCAATAAGTATTTGTTGATTAAAAGAATGGAAAATGACCAAAATTATGTTTTTCTGATTGTCCATGCTATTAAATTTGTTTATAGCTTTATTAACTGATACAAGAAAAACTAAATAAATTTAATATATACTGACCAAAATTTTAGAGACATTTCCATAAGAAATTTTTTTGCAGATCCCATCCCTAAATCCAAAGCAATGAATTGTATTTCTAAATAATTTGTATTTCTGTCTAAGTTAACCTTGAAATTTAATAAATATGATTGCATGTGAATGACAGGTTAAGAAATTACTTCCAAAATCAATTTTACACAACTTTGGAAGTTGAGCTCCTAACTGGAACATAACTATTTTTCTCACGTGTTGCTATAG